CGCAGGGCAGCATCCTGGGACCATTATTATATGTATTATTTACATTAGATATACCAATACCTCCTAACTCTATTATAGCTACATTTGCAGACGACACTGCTATCTTATTCAGAAATCAAAATCCTCTATTAGCATCTCAACTGACTCAAAATTATATCTGCATATTAGAGAAATGGCTAAACAAATGGCACATACGGATTAACGAATCAAAATCTGCGCACATAACATTCACGTTGTGTCAAAAAACTTGTCCTCCTGTATACTTAAACAACATCATGATCCCACAAGTACAAGTAGTAAAATATCTGGAACTCCATCTAGATACAAGACTCACGTGGAAAGAACATATAAAAAAGAAAAAGGAACAAATTCTACTAAAAATGAAGGAGATGAACTGGTTACTTAGCAGACAGTCCAAACTATCCGTCGAAAATAAACTACTGCTATACAAGGCTATCATTAAGCCAATATGGACCTATGGTCTAGAGCTATGGGGATGCGCCTCCAAATCTAATCTGGAAATTATGCAGAGAACACAAACTAAAATCTTAAGAGCCATCCTCAACTCACCCTGGTATGTCACTAACAAAACTGTCTATGGCGACCTAAAAATGCTGACTGTGCACGAGACATATAAAGAACTATCATCTAAATACCGTAACAGATTGGAGATGCACCCAAATGAATCGATAAAGGATTTACTGCGCCCTCAACAAAACCCAAGATTGAAGAGAAAGCGGCCTCTACATAGTATTTAAGTACAATCATTAGTTATATATATAAATATATTAAGTAACATAATGTAAGATAGATCAGTGGATCCTATCTTATTTTAACATTCACATAATTTGCAATTTAGCTTATAGAAAAATGTAATTTTTCTGATTGCTAAATAAAACTATTACAAAAAAAAAAAAAATAAAAAAAATATCTTACTATTTCTATTATTGTTATTTTGTTATATTTTATTATTTTTCTAGTATTATTTTATTATTCAGAAATTTTATTTATATTATTTATTAATTTTATTTTTATTATTATTTGCTTATATTTTATATCAAATCATATTACGGATATTATTTTCAAGTAAATTTTATCCTTTGCACTTTTATTTATTTAAATTTATGTTACTATTTATCAATATTACTAGATGTTAATAATTTAACAGTTGTAATACTTTTATTCATATTTCATCAAATATTCATTTCAGATTATTTAATTCATTTAAAAAAAATATCTACGATCCATTTTCAACCCATAAGCCAAAATTGAAAGAAACGTGATGCGCGTGTATGTGAAAGCGATATTAATAAATCCTTCAGATAAAATAAAATATTCGAATAGAGTTTACATGATACAGATAATTACATAAAAGGCACACTAGGAATAAATTTGAATCTTAAATTAGGAATTACAAACATTAAAATGTATATCGAATCAGGAAACATCAACCAAGTATTTTCGTTTCTAATACCTATTACAAAGCAATCAATTAAGACCTCGGATACACGAGTGCTTACGTATAATATTCTATTAATTAATTATTTTTCATTTTTCATAAAAAAGAAATTACTGGCATTTGCTGCTTGTTTCCAATTATTAATTTTTTACAAGCTGCATTAATATGTGCAAGTGATAATCTAAGAAATTACTGAAATGTTTGATTTCATTTGGTTTGTGGGAGATACCGTTCCCTCTTCAATTTTTTAAATAATATCACAACATCCTTCTCAAACATCAAACGGAGCTGATCAACACATAGTCGGCAATTGTTAAAATGTTTAAATTTGTAATATTTTATATCTTATTATATTATTAATATAATTAAATTTGTTTTTTTAGACGATGCCAAATCTTATGACGATGAAGTATTAATTAGCGATATATCTGATAATGATGATTAATTCATGATAATAAATATTTTATTGTGACTAAATAAATTTATTTTGACCATAATTTGTAATTTCTCATAATATAGTTTGAATATATGCTATAAGTTTTCACGCAACGCTTATTGCTCGCCCTCCCGCCATAGCATTTTTGCCCTCGTATGGCAAGGGCTTTTGCTAGCCAGAATGGTCTGGCAATTGCACAGAACTTTTTAGAAAAGCTTAGATAAACACATATGTAAATTTCAGCTTTACAGGACAAAGTTTATTTTGGGGCATTTTTTGCTCACTTTCCTGGCAGGTACTTGTGCAGGTTGAAATGGTCTGGCAGATTGATGTTCGAACTTCTCAAAGAGTGAATTACATCGTATAAAAATTTGAACCTTACAGGAACAAGTTTAATTTTCAGGTGTTTTTTACACTTTCAAATGCCTGGACGACCATGATGTGCAGGGCTAAAACCCGCCAGACCGCCGTTTCCGTACTTAGCACGTTAAGAATCACCTGTACAAAAATTTTCAGCCTTACAGGAACACCGTTATTCAAAAGGTTCACTGGCTCTTGGTCCAGTATGCCCCATATGCAAAAAAAAAAGATTTTCTAGATACCATATATTAAAGGATCCGATTGAGTTCAACCACGAGATTGAAATAAAATATTAAGAACTGATTTTTCTTGTCTTTAATTACTGATATTATCAAAGCAGTTCTGTATTATTCATACTTCTTTGTGGATTTTTACACATGGAAAAATGAAATAGAGTAACAGGATTTATCTTATTACTAAAGACAGTGCAAGACGCAAAATAAAAGACGGAACTAGAATTATGAATTGCAATTAGGCAGAGCAATAAATCGTAAACTTTTGAAGAACACAGTGGCAGATTTTCGAAAGAAAGTAGAACTATTTAATGATAGTTTTTACACTAGTGTCGCTTTAGGTCAACATCTATTGGATAATACAACATTTATGTGTGGTACAGTAACAATTACCAGAAAAAACTTACCACCCCAGGCTAAACACAAACAAAAACGTGGCGAATAGATAAGCTTGGAAAATCTCAATGGATTAAAATTTTTAAAATGAATATCATTTTCGAACGACCATCATTGTAAATTTATGCAAGCAACAAATGGTAAAATGAAGCCCGATTATAACAAGGCGTAGACGTATCGGATCAGCTGTCGGGTTATTATAGTTGCCTACGAAAAACGATCAAAATCGAAAAATAGTGATACAATTAATTTATATTAAAATTCAGAGAAATAATCATTGTTTGTCAAAAAAACAAGATAAGTGTCATACTTCATCAAATAAGCATATGCTGAAATTATTTGAAGAATCGGCCAGAAACTCTGGCGGTGCTAGAATTGCTACAAAGAATTAACTAAGAAAAATGGCAGGCAAAAGTTAAGACATAAGTGTTTTAATAATTTGCACAAATAATTATCTTTTTTATTAGTAATGTTTATATTATTGAATACAACTTTTTTATATTATCGAATAAATATTTTTAATAAGTATGTGCAAAATATTTAATATTTTAATTTTCAATGTCCCATAACATAATCAAGTGTGTACTTCTGTGGTACAAAAAATAAATTGTTTTTCAATAAATATGTGTTAAAATATGAAAAACGGGAACGTGACCAACGCAATCCTGCACAGATTCGACAAGCAGCTGAAGCGAAGCGTCAAGAAATGTGCCCACTTGCCGCAGAGAGCCATCGCCAAGGTCCTATATCTGAGCTACAAAGAAGGCGGCTTCAACATTCTACCAGCAGCGGTGTTAGCAGATATAAAACAAATAGTACATGCCCACCGGCTACTGACATCAAAGGACTAGGCCACAGCAGACCTCAGCCGAACTACACTAGCAGACCACAAACCAAACACAGAGGAAATTGTCGGCTTTATGAACTTCAAAACTGACGGCGATTTGGCGAACCCAGCGAACGGCATTACAACTACGTGTTCAAGGCTCACTCAGTGCGGCGACTGAAACCGAAAATCAAAGAAAGACTACTCAATAAACCGGACCAAGGAAAAGTGTTCGAGGTAACGTCCCAAAACTCTGCATCAAACTACTTCCTTAGGCAAGGCGGCTTTACCAGATTCGCAAGGTGGAGGTTTATCCACCGAGCGCGGCTCAACGTTCTACCGCTGAATAAAAGTCGTCCATATGGCAGCAGGGACAAGCGATGCAGAAGGTGTGGACAACACGACGAGACACTGCCGCACCAGAGCACCATCACCAGGACACACGACAGCATCATGCAGCGACTGGTCACGGCAGCAAGGAAACCTTCGAACGGAGCCCTGTACAGCAACCAGCCGATACCAGGATACGACCGACAAAAAAGACCAGACATCGTCATCGTAGACAGCAGAAAGAAGACAGCCGCGATAATTACCTTGGCAATGCCCTTCGAGAACCGGACCGAGGTCTTCCAGACGACTAGACAGCTGAAGAGGGACAAGTACGCCGCACTTGCAGAGCACTTTCGAGCCAAGGGATTCAGGACAACAGTGGAAGCCTACATCGTCGGAATATTGCAGCTGCAATTGGACCGCGTTAGCACCACTCAAGGTCAATAAAAAGTATGCAGTGGTGATGAAGCGGCTGATGGTCTCCGATACAATCCGCTGGTCCTGGAACATCTACGTGGAACTCATCACCGAGCATAGGCAATACCAGGACGCAGGAACCGCCCAAGCAGCCACGGCAGCAGGACGAAGGGACGGACCACAGGAATGAGAACCACCGAAACGAAGACTAGGAACAGAACCAATCTGGACCAATACCCATTATAATGAAATATCTTAAGTTATCATATATTATAACAACTTCATATTTACTTTTATTTAACTGTAATTTTTAAAGAAGTGTGATATTCTTTTTTATATACTTATAGGATAAGGTTGCACAGCCCTGGCGCACTACGTCAGGTTACGCGTCCCTGCCATGCACCGTTATCCTCTATGGTATAAAACCACAGCGCAGCAATACTCAGCCCTTCACTTGCCTACCGGAGCTCGCAGTGGACACAAGGAAGAGAAGAAGATAGTACCTCGCTACATTGGTGACCCCTGACGTGAGAATAGTCGAGCATGTCAAAACCGGAGAAGCCAGAGCAAATATCTTTCCCGCCATCGCAGGTCGAAAGAGTCGGTGTCAAGGTTCCGCCATTTTGGCCTGAAAAGACTCAGCTATGGTTTGCTCAACTTGAGGGACAATTTGCGCTTTCGAATATATCAGCTGACACTACAAAGTTTTATGTAGCAATCGCATACTTAGAGACGCAATACGCAGCCGAGGTTGAAGACATTATTTTGAAACCACCAACAGAGAATAAGTATGAAACACTGAAATGTACTCTCATCAAGAGAGTATCGATGTCAGAAGATCGCAAGTTAGAACAGTTACTGTACAGAGAAGAAATCGGCGACAGACGACCATCGCAGTTTTTGCGTCATTTGCGCGCACTAGGCGGGTCAAAAGTCGACGATAGTATTCTCAAGATATTGTGGATCAGGCGGCTACCAGAAAATATTCAAGCCATAATTTCGGCACACGACCATCTCGAGTTGGATAAAATAGCAGACATGGCAGATAAAATCGCCGATATAGTGTTGCAGCATAAAATCCAAGGAGTTAGTAAACAAATGCCATCCACGTCCAAAGAAATGAATCATACCATTTCAGAACAAATTTTGGAGCTTCAAAACCAGAACGCTACATTAAATTCAAAGATTGACTTGTTAGCTAAACAAGTTGAAGCCCTCACCCAAGCCAAGTACCGAACCTTACCATCGAGGTCGAAGGTCGTGCATCCATCTCCACGTGGCTATTGCCAGTACCACTCAAGATTTGGAGCTAAAGCACGGAAGTGTAATGAACCTTGTTCATTTAAATCTTTAAACTTAAACGACAGTCAATGAATGCGGCGCATGACTGTCAATTAATTAGTTCAACAAGCCGCCTATTAGTTGTTGACAAAGCATCCAAACAAGAATTTTTAGTCGACACGGGCGCGGATCTTTGTGTATACCCTCGCAGAAAACTGAAAGGGCAGCATCCGCGTACCGAATATACGTTATATACGGCAAATGGTGCGAAAATGGCGACCTATGGGACAGTGCAATTAATTTTGAACTTCGGCCTTAAACGGAATTTTTCTTGGAAGTTTGTGATAGCCGACGTCGAAAAACCCATTATTGGAGCAGATTTCTTATCAATTTATAACTTATTGGTAGATCTGCGCAACAAACGGCTACTAGAGGGAGATACAAAAGCACAAATGATGGGAAAAGTAACAGATGCAGTCGTCCCAACTGTTAAAACCTTGCGAAAGGAGCACCACAGCCTATTGCAAGAATTTCCGGATATTACCAGACCTCAAGGAGCACCTCACACAGTGAAGCATTCAACAACACACCACATCAATACAACACCAGGGCCTCCGATTTATTTTAAACCAAGACGGCTCAACGCGGAACGCCTTCAAATAGCTAAAACAGAATTTGAAGAAATGGTGCAGCTCGGAATCGCTCGACGATCAAACAGCCCCTGGGCCGCGCCGCTTCACATGGTACCTAAACGAAACCTCGGATGACGCCTGTGCGGAGATTACAGGGCACTCAACGCTCGAACTATTCCAGACAGATACCCGGTAAAGCACATTTACGATTTTACGCAGCATCTTCAAGGAATGAAAGTTTTTTCCAAAATCGACTTGGTGAAGGCTTACAACCAAATTCCGGTCAACGAGGAGGACATACCAAAAACAGCAATTACGACTCCTTTCGGACTCTTCGAATTTCCTTATATGAGCTTCGGACTTCGTAATGCAGGCCAAACCTTTCAAAGGTTTATCGACGAAGTCACACAAGGTATGGATTTTTGCTATGCTTATATCGACGATTTGCTAATTGCATCAAGAAACCAGGAAGAGCATGCAAGACATTTACGAAGCATTTTCGAAAGACTGCAGCAGTATGGTATCATAATCAACTGTGAGAAATGCATATTTAGTGTCCCGGAAATTGATTTTTTGGGATACACAGTCTCTAAAGATGGTATACGCCCAATTAAGGAACGAGTGGAAGCTCTTGTAAGAATCAAACCTCCTACTAACATACAAGAATTGCGCAGATTTTATAGGAATGATTAATTATTTTCGCCGATGCATTCCCGTGCGGCTGAATTGCAAGCTCCATTTCAAAAACTGCTAGAAGGACCAAACGTTAAAAATAACACTATCATAGAATGGAACGAGCAACTTCAGCAGGCTTTTATTAATTGCAAAGAAAGCCTATCAAATGCTACTCTTTTACATCATCCAGTGGTCAACGGCAAGTTAGCTTTATTTACAGACGCTAGTACAATTTCAATAGGAGCATCGCTGCAACAACAAATAGGGAAAACATGGCAACCACTAGCTTTCTTCTCGAAGAAAATTTCTAAACGCCAATGCGAATGGCCAACATACTACCGACAACTTCTAGCAATCTTTGAAGCTATCCGACATTTTAGGCACTTTCTTGGTGGACAACATTTCGTAGTATACACAGACCATAAACCGCTAACATTTGTCTTCCAACAGAAACAGGACAAATTGCCGCCAGTTCAACTGAATCAACTAACTTTCATAGCACAATTTACAACGAAAATAAAGCACATTGAAGGAAAAGAAAACGTCGTAGCTGATGCTTTATCCCGGATCGAAGAATTACATGTCTCGTCGAATGCAGATTATAACATAATCGCAAAGGAACAACAAGATGACGCGGAACTGCAAAGCTGCCTACAGAACAGTTCTCGTTGGTCCTAAAGTCAGTACGTCTTCCGGGTACTACCATCAACGTATATTGCGATGTATCCACTAATATTCCAAGACCTTTCGTTCCGAAGACGTTAAGTTTTTAACGCACTTCACAACCTAAGCCATCCTGGAAGAAATGCCACAGTGAAAATGGTATCCCAACGATTTGTTTGGCCGTCAGTGAACAAGGACTGTCGAGCCTGGACGAGGGAGTGCATTCCTTGTCAACGCAGCAAAATTCATCGCCACACGCGAGCACCGCTTGGTAAATTTTTGCTTCCTACCCGACGATTTTCTCACATACATTTAGATCTGATCGGACCCTTTCCAAGCGCACGAGGATTCAAGTATTGCCTATCAGTAATATGTAGATTCACAAGGTGGCCAGAAGTCATCCCACTTCGAGATATAACAGCCGAGTCAGTGGCGCAAGCATTTATAGAGGGATGGATATCTCGCTTTGGCTGCCCCACTGAAGTAACGTGCGATCGCGGAGTCCAATTTAAATCCCGCCTATTTGACGCCATTGGTAAGTTTACAGGGTCGAAAATAACTTACACCACAGCTTATCACCCCAGTGCAAACGGCATGGTCGAGCGTTTTCACAGATCCTTTAAATCAGCTATTATGTCCCACAACAATAAGAGCTGGCTGGATGCGTTGCCGCTAGTACTACTCGGATTGCGGTCTGTATGGAAGCAAGACTTGCAAGCTTCTCCAGCTGAAATGGTGTATGGCGAACCTCTACGGCTTCCAGGAGAATTTTTCGAAGACCATCAGAACACACAAGACACACACCAGGTTCTCCAAAAACTTCGACAAACGGTCAAAACGCTCAAGGCAACGCCCGCTTCGAATCACGGAAATAATTACAGCTTTGTTCACCCGGATTTATCAACGGCTCGACAAATTTTTATCCGGGAAGACACCATAAGGACAGGATTACAACCGCCGTACACAGGACCATACGAAGTAGTGGGCCGTTCGGATAAAACTATGACAGTGATTAGAAACGGCAAGGAAACTAAGATATCGATCGATAGAGCAAAACCAGCCTATATATTCGAGCCAAAGACACTCAGCGGGGGGGTGATATAGGATAAGGTTGCACAGCCCTGGCGCACTACGTCAGGTTGCGCGTCCCTGCCATGCACCGTTATCCTCTATGGTATAAAACCACAGCGCAGCAATACTCAGCCCTTCACTTGCCTACCGGAGCTCGCAGTGGACACAAGGAAGAGAAGAAGATAGTACCTCGCTACATACTGTAACTAGTTCACATCTGGTTTAAAAATCATTGTAAATATTATTTACTAAATACATGTATTATCTGTTCTTATCGGCTTAATTAAACGGCTTCAATAATTAGGAAATAGGAAAAAGGCTCTATTTTGGTTTTTTGTCATTTTGAGCCGAGGTTGCCGGAAGCGGAGCCCCACGGAACGGGACCAGAGTCCATCAAAAACCTGTCAGGCCCGAGTTGTGATAGGTTGTCTCGGACGTGGCATTCTTTGCATAAGCGATCCCAAATCGTTTGATGCAGTTGATCCTCGTGTTGCAAATTGAGAATCTTCGGAGCGCCCACTGAGCGCCCCCTTGGACCAAGAAAATTTGAACTAAGCAAATTAGTTCGGGGCTAAATCTGTTATAGGGCGATCTCGCACTTGTGAGATTGACTCCCCGATATAGACAATTTTTGTAAGAGTCTTGTAGACCCCCTCAATAGATTCGTATTAAAAAACTGAAGACTCCTGAAACATCCTGTGCGCTCCCTTATTTTAAAAGTTGTTCGGAGTTATTTAGGCGCGTCCCCTTCGTCTAAACAAAGAAATACTGATTTAGCGCCCAAATACAACCGACGACATGTAGGTGATCTCGTTTATACGAACGACTTTCCGTATCGCTACGCAGTTTTGCGTACGCTCACCTGACGATCGGATAAGTTGGTACTCCAGTAGCCAGTAACAATTTCCTCTAGGTTTAGGATTACTAAACAACTGTATTATAACCGTAGAGTCAGATACAAACTCTGCAATTCGGGTAGATGTTGAGAATAGGAACAATTTAGTGTTCATAAACGTTCGCCTGACCGTGAGATTTAGTAGTCATAATGGGCTACTCAGGCACCACAGAAACACATACAACAGAAATACATCCCTAAAATTCAGATGCAGAAGTTCTAACAGGTCGAAACGAGACGGACGGCATTATAGAAAACGACGCCGTGTCTAATGTCGGAGAACGCGTTCAAATTCGAGTAGCGAGGACGAAAGAAGGAATGATGAAGCTAAAGAGTCGAGAAATGCCCTGCCCACAATTTCGGAGGGAATACCGACAGGAACTAATCTGGAGAATGCAGAAGCTGTTGAGAAAGGGCAAGAAGAAATGCCCTTAACAATATTGCAGGTGGAGGTGATAGCAGCGCTCGACAAAATAACTAATCCAGATTAGCAGATTATCTGCAAAGAATGATGAAATGCCTGAGATGATTAATATAAAAAAATGGAGCCACTTCATTACGGCGCGTCACTTCATATACCGATTTATCCTTTATCGGAGGTATTTGCTTCAAATCGCCAACTGCTAATATTGATACCCCACCGAAAAGATGTATTAATGCCTTTAATTTGCCGTAATCGAGTATCAACACGACTTAGTATCGTGCAACTTACCATTGATTTATCGTCAATTATCGAAAGTTGTTTGCGTATTGTATTTGCGACATCGCTCGAGAGCTCGGCTAAATTAACACCGAATTGTTTACAAGGTAACGTGAACGAGGAATGCAACATGACGCCATTGATTAGGAAAGCGGCTTTTCCTGACGGAGCACACAATAGCACCACAATTTTATCTCAATCCCTTCCAGGAAAACTATCGAAATAATTTGTTATAGGCTGAAACAAAGTATTTATAACCATGCTTTTCCTTACTCCGCTATTTGAAAGAGCAATTTTCCTATTCTGAACACTTTAAATATATGCATTAAGAACTCCCGTTGCTTATTATTTAATTGTCGCATTATTTCGTACAAATTATTTTAGGATACCCTGGTGGAGCATGCGTATCGACTCTTTGTAAAAGTAATTTTGGTTTTATTACATGTGCTTTTATTTCCTTCTTGTTGCACTATATCTATGTCATTTTCGAATGAATTTTCTTCTGTATCTTCTGCATTATTGTCATCTTTAAGTTGGTCATGTTCAATTAAGTTCAGAGCTTCGTCTAAAGCTTCGTCGCTTATAATAAAAAATTTTCATTGGAAATCTTTAAATATCATTTTTGATGATTATACACTAGTTCAAAATCCACATTTTCCACTTCTTCTAACTCATTGCGCCACGGCATGAATAACATATTCTCTCTATAATAATTGGTAAGATCTTGGTATAATTTATATCTCATATATCTTATCATAGACGATTTTTTGTGGTTTATTATTTGCGTTAAATTTTTCCTTAATACTTTTATTATTGCAACCCACGGCTGCTTCTCTTAAAAGCTTCAATAACCCCCCCTCTATCTTACTAATATAGTTTGTAACACAACTTATCACCGCATATTCATCTAATATAATTTGAAGATCCATATTTGACTCGAATAACTTTTGGAATTATATGCATTAACAGATACTTCCAAACTAGATCTTTTCAAAAATACGCGCCTGTTTCAATGTACTTCGAATCGATAATATATATTCCGTTTCGTTCAGCCCTAATTCCTTTAAAATATCGTCGTAACTCATATATTTATTCTCCCTATACAACTTATTCATTAAATCGCGTATGGCT